GGGGTGTGTGGGGATTGTCAGTCTTTATGCTGCTCAACCACAGCTGCTAATTCCAGCATTGTGTTAGCTTTGCATCAGGGAGCCTGTAAGGGACATTAATTACTACGAGGCCTGAGGCAAACTGCAAGGAGGGTTCATGTGCTTTCCCTATCTAGAAGGCTACGGAAGAGGAATGAAAAGGAAGCCTGAAAGGGGTTGAGAGTGTGCGTAATGTATATGAGTTGCAGTTGAGTCTGCTGGAAGGATGACAGGAACCAGTGGGAGAGAAACAGATACAGGAACTGAAATGGCTGAGGCTTTGTGTCTTAAATAGAAGAAAATGAGAAGGTGCTTGCTCAGATTAAGGACACGAATCAGATGTGCTTTGTCTGAGTCATTCACATAACTCATGCTGATCCTTTACAGGTTTTCTTAGGTCCTGGTGTAATACGATTGCATTTCCACCTGTGGGTATGGCAGAGCTTCCTCAGGTCAGGGAATCCTTCTAGGGCTTTCTTACACCACTGCTCGCAAGAAGTGTCTGAGTGAATTTCAGGCAGAGTATAATAATAGAGTGGAAGACTAGCAAGTTATTGGAAGAGCAGTGCAATAGTATCTGCTTAAGTATATGCTGAGGAGGCTTGAAAGAACTGGGGGTAAGTTCATAACTAGTCTCTATCAGTAGCTGCTGCAGAGTGTTTTGCAGTTCCCTTTGCTTGCATGCCGCTGCTTCATCTGCTTGTCGCCTTTCAGCAGGAGCCCTGTTTCTGCTGCAGATGGTATATACAACTAGTTTGTGTCCTTGCCAGTGCATACTTCTGGAGGACCTTTCCCTGCTATAAATAAACATTGCCAAATTCGACAAGCCTGGACCAAGTCGCCTGCTGAAGTGCCTACTAGGAATGGACTGCAGGAAGAACCTCGGTTGCATTGATTCAGAGTAGCAGCTGAGGAATCATTTTAGCATGGCAGTTAATTGCATGTAACACCTTTGACTAAACAGAGCTAGTAGAGTCCTAGCAAGTATAACTTTCCTCCATAAGTCATTTTCTTTTTTTTTGCAAGCCTGGCTACTTCAGGAATGACATCCAGCAGTTTGTTTCCCAGCTGGGGTGTATGTGTGAAGGACTGGGGAAAATAGCAATGGCACCACTTCAGTTTAAAAAGCCACAACAACAAAAACCTTTCGAAGCAAGTGAAAAATTCTGAGAAACTTCCATGCAGTAGCTGACACTGACTTTGGAGGTAGGGAGTTCAGGAGCCTTCTGTAGGCAATGTCCCCTCAGAGTTCCTAGAGGTAGTTCTGTGAAATGCTGAGTAGTTACTCTGGCTGCACTAGCAGAGTCACATTCAGGAGGTGTTCTAACTGGCATTTTCTCTGAATTTGCTGCTCCTGAAATCTAATTAGGTATCACTCCGTGGAGCTGGCCTGGAAGAACTGAGCCAAACAAATTTGGAAAACTTGGGTTCTGCCCTGTTAATATTCCTTGGTTTTAATGCATGTCTATCCCTCTTTTTTCCCTGCTTCATGCTGGGAATTAACAGTCTTTCTTTTTCTCTGCTCACTTCATGCTGGGAGTGTTTTCTGGCACAGAAGAGTCCCAAGCATCTCAATTTTATGAACAAGATCCTAATGTGTGTACGTAATGATCCTTTTAATATATCAGTAGGTAGCAGAAATAGAATCATGGAGGGGGGTTTCAGTGTAGGTTGGAATGACAGTGCTGGGGTTTTAGAGTTTAGACAACACTTCCCTGTTAATCAGATCGGGTGTATGGACTTTTTTTGCAGAGTTTTGTCCACGCTTGCTGTTATCTTTAGATTGAGCAACTTGGGAATCATTTTTTGGCCACAAGTTACAGAGGCTGACTCGTGTCTTCTTCCCAGCCAGCCACGTGCTTGTGCACATTTCTCCTGACCTGATAGGGAGATGATCCTTTTCTCTTAATAGAAATGAGTATGGGTAGATGTGAGCTTCATGAAAATCAAACAAGCCAGTAACTTCTACTTCCCTTTTTTCCCCAGGGTTCCCTGTATTTCCTTTCCGTCTTTGGGTGGAGCAATTTACCTTTATAATAATAAAGAATATAACTAATAAACCCCAGGCATTTTGACAGTCATTTTGCTCTGGTTGTTAAAACGTTACTATAATATAAATCTAAAATAGTCTGCTAAACCTATTACATACTTAAACATGTCTAGTGACTGTGCTGCAAACCCCTCCCTTGAAACATTAAGTTAAAAAGTCATTGGAATTGGTTGCCTGTGATATTACCCCAAATGTCTCTGTAAGCTGAGCAAAATTCAGAGAAAGCGATCACCCACATGATGGAAACCTTTATTTTTTTTTTTAACAAACCGCAGAAATCTGTTCTTGATTTCTCTTGCAGCTGAGCGTGCTCTAGATACCATGAATTTTGATGTGATCAAAGGAAAACCCATTCGCATCATGTGGTCTCAGAGGGACCCCTCCTTGAGGAAGTCAGGGGTTGGGAATGTCTTCATTAAGAACCTGGACAAATCCATTGATAACAAGGCACTTTATGACACATTCTCAGCGTTTGGGAATATTTTGTCCTGCAAGGTGAGATGTGGTTACTTTGTCCAATTCTGTTATAGCGATGACATGATCAGACACATCCAACGTAGGAAGCAAAAGGGGAGACTTTTTACCAGGCAAGGAGTGGAGTCTGAAAGGCAGAGTAGAGTTGGCCAAAAGGTCAGGGATTGCTGAAGTTACATCAGATTTGGTCATAAAGTGCACAAGTCTGAATACAGATGATGTTTTCCTAGTGTTGAACCTTGGCAGTAACCCATTTTTGTGAGCTGGCCTTGTGTCTGAGCATGACAGAGGAGAGAACGTGTCCAGAGAGCTGACAGTCTGTTTTCCTTCCACATGTCTAGGTGGTGTGTGATGAGAATGGCTCTAAGGGCTACGCATTTGTGCACTTTGAGACCCAGGATGCTGCAGATAGAGCCATCGAGAAGATGAACGGCATGCTGCTAAACGACCGCAAAGTGTGAGTGTCACAGCCAGAAGCAGCAACGATCGCATGAACCGTGATGCATCTCGGTATTAACAGGGACACACAAGGCACTGGTTCTCCTGGCCCAAGCCTTGGCCTGCTGCCTCTCCACTACAGGGCTGGTGAGTGACCCTGCCCAAGCCATGGCCTGCTACCCCTCCATTACAGGCCTGGTGGGTTTCCCTAACCAAGCCTTGATTTGCTGTCTTTCCACCAGTGGGCTGGGGTGGGTGTCTGTGGCCAGTACTCTCTCCACTGCAGAGCTGGGTGGGTGTCCTTGGCCAACCATAGGACAGGTGATTTTTCTGGATGGCCCATGGCCTGTTTGTCCTTTTCCACTGTCACCCTTTCTTAGCCCCATTCCCAGCTCCTTCTACACACTCATTTTTTGCCCTGCCACAAGTCACACATTGTTTTTCCGCTCCTGAAAACAAGCTGCTTATTGGGATTTTCATTCTTTCTTACAGATTTGTTGGGAGATTCAAGTCTCGTAAAGAGCGGGAGGCTGAGTTGGGAGCCAAGGCGAAGGAATTCACCAATGTTTATATTAAAAACTTCGGGGATGACATGGATGATGAAAGACTAAAGGAGCTCTTCAGCAAATACGGTAAATACAGAAATGTTTTTAATGAGGCTGTGAATTTCATGACCCCTGGTAGTTTAGCAGTTTATCACAGTCACTTGGAGGCTGAGGAATACAGAGGATTGAGGTGTGGGTAACAGTTGTGCCAGGTGCTGGACAGGAGGCAGAGGCTGCCCAGCAGATGAGAGAGAGGGCTGGGTCTATTACATGGAGTTTAGTAGTCTTGAAATAGTTTTATAATATTGTCTAAACCTGTCCCTTGGTAACAGGTAAAACTCTGAGTGTTAAAGTGATGACAGACCCCTCTGGAAAATCCAAAGGCTTTGGCTTTGTAAGCTTTGAAAAGCATGAAGATGCTAACAAGGTATGACTGATTTCTATGCTGCTTGGGCATCTTCAGAGAAGAAAAATTTACTTGGTTTATCATAGGAGTCTGTTACTAAAATGGGAGAGAACTCTGCCTCAGGCATAACCTCTTTTAGATGTGGGAACTATGAAACCTTTTGCACCTTACTAGCTTGACATTCAAGGGTAACTTGGCATTTCTCCAGATTACTAGAGCCACACAGAATGCAGTGGTGTAATCAGGAACGTTAATTGCTGAAGATTAACAGTGCAGGGCTTAAGGAGGAGGAAGGTGTCTAGGGTGAGAACATTGCTTAGAAACAGTTTTCTCTAAGCAGTATGCTTGTTAAAATTTGGCCTTAATTGCAAGAAGGGGTGGGGATAAATTCGCAAGTTGCTGGACTAATGGTTACAGTGGGAATGTGAGCATGGTCTATCTTGATAACTTCAGCTTGTCTTTAGCCTGTTGTTACAGGGAAGCAGGGTAAAGGTGATGTGGCAACGTTGGTTTATTGGCTAATAGACAGGGATAGAACATGAGCTTTGGACAGTCCTGTTCTTAACAGGATCAGATGCTGTCTTGCTTCAGCAGTTGATGGTTTCTTCTTGAACCCTCTGTCCAGGCAGTAGAAGAAATGAATGGAAAGGATATCAATGGGAAAATGGTGTTTGTAGGCCGAGCACAGAAGAAGGTCGAGCGCCAGGCAGAGCTGAAACGGAAGTTTGAACAGCTGAAACAAGAGAGGCTCAGCCGGTACCAGGTGAATAGTCCGTTCCTTTGCTGAATTTAAGCACTGTTTTGTCTCTTGGCGGACTTGAAAAGAATTGACAGTCAGTCATTGTTCTATGAGAGATCCTGGGAGTTGAAATGTAAAGGTGACTCCATGGTATTTGGGAGCAGCGGGGGCCTCGGGGCATAGTCTTGTCAATGAAAGTGTTTAGGAGGACATGAAGTCATGCAGTCTTCTTTGCTTTCAAATCAATGTACTTAGAAGGATGGAAAGAGACAGCATAAACCCTGTACTGTTGTCTCTAATTTTTGGCAAAAGTGGGTCATGTCAGAGATCGCATCTGTGTCTTTCCCACTCCTTGCAATACAGTCCTGGACTGGGGATACATGGTGCAACAGGAAGGCACAGGAAATCCAGACAAGTTCCCTTTCACCACAGTGGGAGCTGTCTCTACGCCTTTGCAACATTTATCGCCTTCAGCTTTGGGTGGTACGAAAGGAACATTATGCTAAATTAAGAGTTTTCAGATAAATTACAGCTCTGGCAGATGGGTGGTAACAGTCAACGTGCTCAAGATTTTCTTTAGTATTACAAATGTCTGATTGTTCTTTCCCTTCTAGGGTGTTAACCTATACATTAAAAACCTAGATGACACTATAGATGATGAAAAACTGAGGAAGGAGTTCTCGCCTTTCGGGTCAATAACAAGTGCCAAGGTATTGTGGGGTTTTGGGGGTATTTGGATTTTAAAGCCTGAAGAAGGAACTGTTGCCTGGCGTGGGACCAAAGGGCAGTTCTTGCATCCTCTGGTCATTGTGGTCCTGAGAAGATCTGGACTAGTAAATACAGATTTCTTTGTGTCTTGGTGGGATTTTAGTGGAAACTTGCTTCATTCCCTCATCAAAAGAGGAGGCAGGAAGTGGCAGACATGCTTGTTTGAGGTGACTCCCAATAAGCATGAAATGGCATTTTCCTACGTGCATTTAGTGGCTGCACCAAATCTTTCCCATTCCTTACTGTGCAGTGTGGGCCTGGGGACACATGGTGCTTACAGAACAGCAGAGTAAATCCAGACAGGTGACTCATTCATCGAGTACCTGTCTCTACACCTCTGCAACAGTTATGTCCTACCTGTCTGACATCTGACACTTAAAATAAATATCAATTTTTAGGCATGAGTTCTTGTAATGGTACTCCACTAGCAATTGATCTTTACTGCAGGTGATGCTGGAAGATGGACGGAGCAAAGGCTTTGGCTTTGTCTGCTTTTCCTCTCCAGAGGAAGCTACAAAAGCTGTGACAGAGATGAATGGGCGAATTGTGGGCTCAAAGCCGTTGTATGTTGCACTGGCACAAAGGAAAGAAGAGCGAAAGGCCCATTTAACTAATCAGTACATGCAGCGTATCGCTGGGATGAGAGCCTTGCCTGCCAACACTATTATTAATCAGTTCCAGCCTGCTGCTGGGGGGTATTTCATGCCTGCTATGCCCCAGGTAAGCTGAGCTGGGGTGGTTTTTCAACCTGTCTTTTGATGGTTCAGCTGCAGTGATCTCACTGAGCCTTTCTTATGCCTAGAAGCAAATAATGTCTAAGGAGGGCTGCAGTCAGTGGGGTGAATTCTGTGACTTCCCAACTGCCTGTTCTCTTGATGTGAATTGAGTGTTGAGTCCTGGCAACAACTGCCAACACATGTTGTAAACCATGTTCGTTATTCACTTGGATGTTGCCTCTGATCTTTCCTCAGGCTCAGAGCAGACCCACTTACTATGCACCCAATCAAATGACGCAGATGAGACCCAACCCACGCTGGCAGCAAGGAGGAAGACCTCAAGGTGAGCATGCTAGAGACAGTGGTTTGGTTGTGTGACCCTTTTGGCTGTACATTCCAACAGGAACAATGCATGCTTTCCTTTCCGTGCACAACCCCAACCTGCTTCCTGTAGCTGACTGTCCTGACTTGTCAGTCGGTTCTGGTTTGAGGATTTCCCCTCATTTCTTCCACTAGGCTTCCAGGGAATGCCAAATGCCATGCGCCAGTCTGGACCACGGCCAGCACTGCGCCATCTGGCCCCTGCCAGCAACGCCCCGGCCTCTCGTGGCCTCCCTGCTGCTGCCCAGCGAGTTGGTAAAGTGTCTCCTCCCAGGCTCTCTTCCCTTGTCTGTGAGGGAGGAGGATGATATTGAGACTTGATTTCTGGTTCCAAAGATGGTCCTCATACGGAGAACCAAAAGCCACCTGGAGCAAGGGGCAGAGACAGCACCTGAATCTTTCCTGTTCCTTGCTGTGCAGTGCAGGTCTGGGGATAGTTGGTGCTACAGCACAGCAGTGGAAATCCAGATGGGTTGCTTTCTGCTGGTTTGGAACTCATCTCTACACCTCTGCAACATTTACCACTCAAAAAAAAAGTCTGTGTAGGTTACGAATATTGTTTTCAGAGTAGAGTAACCAAATTAATTTTATTCCAGTGAATAGCTAGAAAATATCTTAACCATGGATGCTATATTTTAGTTCTCGGGAGAGCAGCCCTTTCCTAAAGTAGCAAGCCGCATTTTGGAGACCAGTTTCTAAAGAAGTATTAGACTCTGCAGGGCATAGTCTGAATTCAACAGTTATTATCAGACATCCCAATTTATTTGCTTGCATGTTGCTACAGGTGTTTGTAATTCTGTTCTCTTTTGCAGGCGTTGGCACTGCAGCACAGAATTTAGCTCCTCGTCCGCCTGTAGCTGCCCCTGCTCCCAGAGCAGTTCCTCCTTATAAATATGCCTCAAGTGTCCGCAGCCCACACCCAGCTGTACAGCCTTTGCAGGTAACGCAGGGGTCTGGGCTGGGAAGTTCCTGCAGTCCAACAGGTTTTACATGCAGCTAAAGTGTTTTTAGAGAAACTTCAAGCTACTTATGTAACCCAGACAGGCATCATAAGCTGGAATTTAAAAACCTGGTGGTTGTACCCTTGCCAGGAGCAACCTAGTTGATTTATATGCCTTGTACTTGCAAGCCCTTTTTTACCCAGATTTGCTGGATGGGTATTTTTCTTGGCTCTTTGCTTTCTCATTTTGCAACCATTCATACTCATTTCTGCCAGATCCTCACTAAGGTATCACTGAAGACACCATTTGCTTCTCCCACAAACCTCTGCATTGTAAAATAAGCAGGCATGGATGTTGCTTTTTCAGTTGTGATATTTGTGTCTCAACATTTGATCCAGTTTTTGCAAGGTATTTACAGTGCCTGTGTGTGACATTATGGGGTTTGAGTTCAGGACTTGGAGGGAGCATGTTTGTGTACCAAGGGCACCTTACCTGTCCTTTTCTGAAACTTAAGTCTGATGCAGCCTTGACAAAGATTGTGGTTTAGAAGGCGGGAATATCTTACTGTATTGCTACTAGGCTGATTGCTTCAACACTTATTTCAGAACCCTCATGTCTGCCCTTCTATAGGCACCTCAACCTGCGGTACACGTGCAGGGACAGGAACCACTAACGGCCTCCATGCTGGCTGCTGCCCCTCCCCAGGAGCAGAAACAGATGCTGGGTGAGTGAAACTCCAGTTCTTACAGATTACGTTTTACTTTGGAAATCCCCTCAGGGTTCAGGATGACTTTTTAATTGAAACTCGGCTGGCTGAACTGTGTGTTTTTTTTTTCCAGGAGAACGCTTGTTCCCTCTGATTCAAGCTATGCACCCCAGCCTTGCAGGGAAGATCACAGGAATGCTGCTAGAGATTGACAACTCGGAGCTGCTGCACATGCTGGAGTCTCCAGAGTCCCTCCGCTCGAAGGTGGACTGGCCTGTTCCTTTAGATGGGGTGGGCTCTGGGTGGCTTTGGCCCAGAGAGCAGCTCTCACTAGATAACTTGTCTCCTTAAGGTGGAGGAGGCTGTTGCAGTCTTGCAGGCTCACCAAGCCAAGAAGGAAGCTGCCCAGAAGGTGGGTGTGGTTGCTGCTACCTCTTAAACCAGGAAGACTGGTGAGTGTTTTGGTCCCTAGCTTCAGTGAAAAGCTTCCAGAATCAGAGTGAATAAAGAGGGATTGTTAGTGAATGCAGCTGGTCAGGAGGCCTGTGTAGGCCTGGGTGCAGCACTTGTCTGATTTTAATCCACTTTTTAACAAAACAAACAAAACCCTTCCAAGTTTCTTCCAACAGAATCCTTACTGTAGAAGCCTTAGAAATACTCCTTATAAATCTTATTTTAATTAAGCATCAGAAAGATGTTGCATAAGTCCCTGAAGTGTTCCTAGCGGTTGACATGTCAAGGAAGGAGTAATGTATTGAGATGAGTCTTGTGAAACTGCTAATCTGGGAAATAAAATGAGAGGCACAAGATGTTCTAGTGACTTCGAGGCTAAATTGGCTGCTAATGCCCATTCCATATCCTGACAATCATCTGCCTACAGTATATATTAACGTGCTGGCGACAGGAATGTCGCTTCACTGCATTGGTCTGTCCAAGAAAAATCTGATCTCCTGTGTTTGGAGCTGCCTGCTGTTTAACTTCGGAATAAGATTTTTTTGATTCTTTTGACTGCCTCTTGTCTCCTTTGATGATCCATTTTTCTGTGGGTTATTTGGAGTTGACATCTTCAGTATCTGTGAAGCTGTTGTGGTCAGATGTTGCGATTCAGAATGGTGAAGGGTTTTTCTGTTTTCATCCATGTATTTCTGGCTTGTCTGCTAAAGAGTTTGAGTTTCTTTACAGCTGTGGATAATGTTCATTTCTGATTATCTGACAACAGCTCCTCTGTACCTTGTGAATTAATTGGGAGCTCTTATGGTTTGTAGCACTGAAAGGTTCACGAGCCTGAGGTGAGATGTGCTGTTAACTTGTCTTCCTCTTTCTCTAGGATGCAAAGAAGCCAAATAGCCCCTTCATAGACATCAGCTCAAGATGTTTGAAGATTCTTCACTGTCCTGCAGATCTCAATGCCACGCATCATATCACATAGTTATATTGCATTTTGTAAATTAATCTTTAAGGTCTTATTTAAATAAGCCAACTCTGAAGCTCTAGATTTCCAAAATCAGAATTGGGCTTGCAAGCTTTTCCTTTGTGGTCAGAACAGACCCCTGGTTTTGTGTTTTCTAAGGAGGACATTAAGGATTTTAGGTTGAAAGTATTTTGTGGTTTGGGTTTTAACTGAACAATCCAGTTTGAAAAGTCTGGAAAGCATTTATCAATAAAGGAATAAACTTTCACTGTGTTTGTCGTATTTGAGTAAACGGGATATGGCTTAGTAAAATTAAACTGAGGGGCAGTTTTTGTATGATTGGTAGATTAAAATTGTGATTTAATGGAGTGATTCTGCTTGTTAATGTTGGACAATCACTGCTGTGAAGCAGCTGTATTTAAATTATGCCCCAGTCTCCATATGCTGGCTTTGGTTGGTATCGGAATGGGTGACGAACCCAGGTCAGCAGTGATCTAATAGAAGGGTTTGGGAGAGGGTTTTCTGGTGAAGTGCAGAAGGGGTTTGACTCCCTTTTTCCTTGTCAGCTGGAGAGCAGAAGCTTTGCAGTTCTCTATATTTCTACACTTAATGCTTCAGTCTTACGCTCTGAAAGCGGCTGAATTTTGGCGGAGGGGGTAGGGGGGTTGACAAACGCTTTTCTGGATCATCCTCTCGGCTCAGAACGGTGTCACACGCGGTAATTCGAAAGCAAAGCGCAGCTGCCCTGGCCCCTGCGGCTGCTTCTGCCCAAGGAGCGAGGCTCCCTCAGCCGCCTTGCTGCCCCTGAGGGGACCGGACCTGCTCCCCGGTGGAGCTGAGCCTCAGGCTCTGCGGGGAGAGGCAGAAAGCGGTTCCTGGCTGTCGGCGCTGCCGCCGTGCCCCTCGGCCAAGCCCGAATCCCCTCGGACCTGCGGCGAGGGGCCGCCTGAGCCCGCTG